TCCCTGAACCGCTCAGAGTCGGTTTGGGTTCCCGCTTAACAGCCTAAACAATCCGAGCCGAGTCTGAGTCGCTACTCCACCGTAGATCCTCTGGTAAGGCTGGGCTAGAAATCATAGGTTCTCGAACTAAAAATCAATACTCAAGTGCTTGCTGATGTCAAGGAATCCACCTTCCCAAGCCGGCTAAACTCCTTCAAAGTGTGGAGTCAATCATGACATTCGCTGGGTTCGTAGTAGACGGCCGGACACCGAGAATGCTACTAAGAAGTTGGAGATAATTCACATTCGGTAAGGCTTCACTGGTTCAATACAGCCCTAGGTGCAGCAGGTCGAGCAGCGACAGAGACCGATGATAGCAACCATATCCCGCGCCGCAAGCAAGGGTAATTGATCACCAGGTGAGCCCAAAAACGGAATTGACTGTCCTCAGGTTCGGCATGACCTCGTTGTATTCATGTCGAAATCAACCCCGTTACCGTGCGGGAATGCTCATCCTTGAGCAGGCGAAGGTTATACGCCCCTACTGTTCATAGATATCTCTCGTAGTAAATTCTGATCCACCAGATCGTCCGATATCAACGTCGTAAACAGATCTAGGCCGCATCCGACACTCGCCTGTAAGACCATAAGGCTGCAAAGACAGGACTGAGAACGCTTCTGTTGAGTTTGCAAATGACACAAAGCGACTACGATGCCAGTGGCAGAACGCACAGCCACCTACATTTCTCTCAGATAGACCGGACTTCGGCCCGATGATCTCTCCAATCACATTACAGAACGCCATCGCAACGACTCTCGGTCGACGTCGTTATCAGTACTAAGAAGATTCGAGTTTGTACACTAGCGCTGAATATACCGGCTGCGAATGTCGCCTATGATAATTATCGTGGGAGACAAACGTCGGCCGGCACGACGATTGCTTCGTAACTATACTTATACTGTTCTATTCCCACCAGCTGTCCAAAGCATTGTTAAGCATCTCTTCTCTCCTTTCGCGCCCGAGAAAACCTAGAAAGACTGCGTTCCATCAGACCCAGAGCTGCAAATGGCATTTGACAGGGGGTTACCGTTCCCGAATTTGCGACAGCTGTGGTCTCCTACACAGCACATCTGACTAGGCGCTACCACAGTCAGACACACGACAGTTCACTCGCTGCCGCCGAAATGGCCTTGAAAAAGATCCGCGTAATAGCGCGTACCAGCACGGCGCTTAATTTTGCGATTCTATCATCAGGATTGACCAAGGAGATGTCGACGATGGCCATCTTTCCTCCGGCGTGTGCTGCTTTCGCCATTTTGGAGAAAATATTGGAGACAGTCAAGGTATGTGTTCTATGAAGGGCTTCTTTTTGACGAATCTCAAAGACTTCCAGGATGTTCAAGTTCGTCGAGCCGTCAGCATCTATGTACCGAGTAACGCGTCTAAATCAGTTTTCCAGTCTAACAAAGAAGCCTGTCATCGCCTTGTCCACAAATGCGCTCGAATTTTATTCAACATTAACGAACAGATGGAAGGAAGATGGGAATCTGTGTCTCCGTTGCTGCTGAAGAATATCAGTCGTCTTCAAGAGTGCGTCCTAATACATATACATTAGGGGAGGTCGTCGGGCTCACTTTTATGCAGGACGCTGACCATGATACACGCCTTCATGGTAAAAGAGACACAAGCTAAATGGAGCAGCCGTTTGTTACGCAAAAATTCGATTGAAAATGCGTTACACGACTACGCCGAACTACTGGACGAGGCATCACAGGCGTTTCAGGCATGTTTCCCACCTCTGATTCGTAATGTCAATAACCCCATGGCGTAGATAGCAGCACTCATCAACATCCAATACACAGTCGAAGCGTCCACCCAGAAACACAATTCCAAGCTCGTCACAGAAGCACAGGGCAGCCGCGCCCTTGAAACCGTCGTTCATAAGCCACGTCGTTCTTCAACGCCTCCACCATATCACGAAACCGACAGAGCCGAACCCGAAGAAACAGTCCAAGATGACTTCCAATACGCCCTCGACGGCCTTGACAACCATGGTGTAAGTGAACAAACAGCCACATCTTTATCCATATCTTCACACTACCTGTTCCTAGTTCCGAAGATATCACCAGTCAGAAGTCCGCTTGAAGGGTTCATTTGGAGCTTCTACTTCCAGTGGCTGGTGGTCGGACGTGAACGAAGCACTCGTCTACGGGGAACCTACGCTTATCCGAAGGTACGATCAAGGTACCAAGGCCGGCGCTGTTAAGGCGAGGATACTATTTCTCGCTTCGTATTTGGCTGCGGGTTAACGTTGTCCTTCTGTAGGCGTGGATCCATGACGTGAAGATCCTCCAAAATTTATAGCAAGTCCCGGGCTCCCTTGTGCACATGGTGGCCATACTAACATCAAGCTGGGTACATATAGCCATCCAAACCTACCCCAAATGATCGGGGTATCTGCAAATGAAGCTGGAACGCCGTTTGTTGTCCTATCTCATGGTACGAATTTTTTCAAGTGGCGAGAATAGGTGGTGATAATTCACCGTCATCAGTCCAAAGGGGATCTCCAGAGAATCTCCTGATCGATTCTCTGAACAAATTCGGCTTAGCTGGATGCATAAACACCGTTCTGCATTTTGTGAGTACTTTACTCCGACGGAAGACCTTCTTCAAATTGAATTTATGTCTGTATACTTAGTACGTCGACATTTCCGTAAGTTACTCTCCGGACATGTTCGCTCTACTGTTTTTGATTAATTTTGATCTTATTGATTTTTTTTTCATCCGCCCCCATAGAACGCCGCCGCATACCTTCAACGACAGCTCGAGCTGACCGACTCACAAGTGCAAGACGTCATAGAGGTTCGGTCGTTCGCCTCCATTGTGCAAGCGCCGGTTGAGGCTCACCACTGAATAATGTGCAGAGTGTGGCCTTCGCGGCAGACGGGGGTAAAAATTTAATCATGGGCCTCCCGCCGCCCAAGGAAGGCACATGGGTGACCGCCAGAAATTACAGCCTGGCGGATACTATAGGATCTACTGCTATGAAAGTGCGTTTCACTCAGTGCTATAAAAGGTCTATGAATTTGAACCGGTTCTCATGACCTCTTACAGTTTTTGCCACCCCGAGGTTCGGTGATACTGAACAGAAACGGGTTGATTGGCAAGTATTCATTTATTCATAGGTGAATGCCAGTAGTTGTTTATGGATATTGATCCTTAGATGACGACGAGATTATGCGACTCCATCATGTCGCGGCATTGGTCGAGGGGCTTATTCCCAAAGCACGGGAGCCTCATGGCCTTCCCGAGCGGACAAGGGCATTGTTGACTGACGTAGATGAATCATTCAATGGTCTGATGAAGGGACACGCGCCTTCTCTTCGCCAGCTGAGATTGTCAAGCCTGGACGCGAAATCTCACGACCATGTCTGGTACACAAACTTGGGAGTCCTTCCATGTCGGTTTTCAGTGGGAGATTTCGGGTATATTCCTCGACACAAAGGGCACGCGGCGTCTGGTAAATCATTCAAGGACTTTGTACTTTTAGGAAACACATTCCGTGACGACTTTGCCAAGTTCATCGTTGAGAGAACGTGTCATGGTACTCAATTCTGCTGGAAGGACTTTCCGATGACCCGTCAGCCTGTCAATCCGTTCAGTTTGACAGATGATATACAATGGTAGGCTTCTTTTCCCACAAACTCAATGTAATCGCTGATGGAATCTCTCTCAGCTGGCCGATAGTGGTCCCTCCGGGAGCGCAGATAGACTGTGACATAACTCACGAACAGTCTATAGCCAATACCGCGGACGCTTGGCGTTTCCTCATACAAGAATCTCGCACCCTCAGCAGTGAGCTAGGCATACAACCCCATGATTTGATTCTCAGTAAGTCCATCCATCCCCTCATGTCATTCTGACCTTGACCTGTGTCTAGTCACTCGAACTGGGCTGTCTAGACACGCCTACATCCATGACTTTGCAACCTCTGTCAAACTCGGACCTTCGCATTGGCGTCATCAGCCTCCCGGCGTACGGCAACCTCCCCGGCCTTTCCTCCCGCATCAGCCGCCAGCCATAGCAACGCCCATGTACTTGCATACTTCTTTTGATGATAGCTACGAGCCCTATTGGTTTCATCAGCCCCGGTATACGCCACACGAGCCGCAATCAAAGCCGCCACCCCTTTCGGGAGGGTGGAGGAACACAGTCGGATCGTGAGTTGAAGTGGCTCTGAGTGACATGGACACTTATCATTTTCAGGGATACGCAATTCGTTTCTTGGATTCAGCTTCTTCCCGAGGATTTCGATGACTAGTTGAGACCTGGGCTAATGTCAACCGATTTCGGAGACAAAGCAAATTTTATGGCGTTTACCTCTGGCGTTGACATTCTTGATTGAGTCGGCAGCTGGATCCCCGCATAGGTACATGTAATGGGGTCTTCTACGTGAAGTGACCACTACGATGATGTTCCCCCCTTCGACTGCTATTGGTCATTATATAAATTGGAATCAAGCCGACGTCGACGTGAACAGCACTCGGGTCAGAATAGTTTCACTTCGGTCCCAACTTACAAGTCGCCTTGTAAGTTGGTAGAGAAACGCCGTTTGTGTACGTTCCAGTGGAGAGCACCGGCGAGGAAAATACAAGACAGGTCGGACTATCATGTAGTCCAGTATCATTCTTAGTAAACGGACGTTTCTGGCTGCTCACTTTTGTTTCTGTTTCGTTCTCAGTCGTGAAAACCAAGAATACCCGGATCAAAATTTGATCCAGACTAGAGGCGAAAGGGATGAGCAAAACTGGTAATCGATGAGGCTTGCAAGATTCCAAACCCCAGAACGTCAATTCAGGGGGAACTGGGCACCCAAGCAGGTACGGGCATTGCACCATAAGATATGTTGGAAGTCATGGGGCCGAGGCTCGGAAGTTGGTACCAAATGTTGGAACTTGTGAGGTTGCAACTTGTAACTGAGGCTTAGGCACAAGAAAACAAGGTCTCACAAACAAAAACATGGGGACACCCAGGATTGAACTGGGGACCTCCAGAAGAACTAGTAATCCAGACTCAGATAACTTCAGTCTGTTGCTCTCCCAGCTGAGCTATACCCCCTCATCATTGATTGCTGCCAAGTTTTTAAATAGTTATATCAAGCCCGCCTCCGTGCCAATCTAACTTCTAGTCTATGACCATCCTCCACATTCTCCTAACGGCGCCCTCAGTTCCTCAAATGACAAGTATACCTCTGCGAGGCCTTGACTACATTGCCGTGCGTACCGATGTTGACCTGCAGGGTTCTACAGACAGTCAATTTGTGGGACGGGTCGCTCCAACTCGCAGTTGTTAGCGGCGAGGGAGTTGCCTGTTTGGGAGACAGCGAGGTCAACACCGTTAGTGACGGCGAGCTGGAAGGCTACAAAGACGCTGATGCGGATGTGGGTGGCGCTGTTGAAAGGCTGCGTGCATGCTACTCTGCTCCGTCTTTGCATACCCTCACTGCATACTGCGTCCCAAAGAATGCGCGTCGCCTGGGTGAATCTGGTTGCCTGGGAGTGGAGGGTGAGAGGATTAGTCAGGGCGATGATCATGATATACAGGGTCAAGGTTTATTCCTACTTATGCGTTCAATGCTGTCCCTATAGCTTATTACCTTCAATTCAGTGTATAATATATCAATCCAAGTACTTGTACCGACCAAATCATTGCAATTGAGATGCGAGATGGGCCTCAAGATGTAGACACAAGTCCAAGAGCTTGACACTGAGGCCCGAGTCACATCGTCGCTACAACTTTCGCTGGGCTGTCGACATGACTTGAATGGAGCGAGGAACGAGAGTAGGAAGAGCGACGCATACGAAGCTTCGGCTCGCCGTTCCGTGAACAGCGAGGATATATTCAACTCTCATTGCGAGGTCATCATTGTTCCTGCATCGACTACAACGCCTCATTTTCCATAATGTCACGGTTAACTCTCATCTAGCCGAGGATTCCCAATTGCGCCAGGAAACAACAAAATCTCCCTTCGCCGCCAACTCTTCCAACGCAAGATAGACGACAAGGGACATCTATCTCAGCAGTTTCATAGGACGAGGAGGGGAGTAGTCCTTCCCGGTGTACTCGATCCTGATAGGCGCTTTCAATGGAAGAATCCGTTCTAGTTCGTTCCTGTCCGTTCTCTGAGTTCCACTATGGTGCCTTGATGGCTGTACGGTGGACCCTTGTCTTACGCTCACCCTCGCTCACCAAAATGTCCAATACCGATACCGTTACCGGCGATGTCGTACTCACAACCGTTGCTGAAGCAAAAGCGGAAAAAGGCTCAAAATCCGAAACCGAAGAGGAAGAGGAGAATGGCAACCGTATCCTGAATATGTTCATCCTACCAAATCGAGCAAGAGGTTCGGATTGCGAGGATATGTCCCTTACCAACCTCCCAAAGGTAAATCACGCTTGTGTGCCGATGAAATTGTTTTCATCTCGTTTTGTTCAGGCAACGATCCTTTCAATTACGAGGAAAAGTATCCTGAAGATGTTCCATGTGAATAAATGGGTCCCAGCGCTAGGGTATTTCGGACATACCTCGATGAACGCGCGATATATGACGTGAATATGGTTGAAGAATCGAGAGATGGTGATGATGTTCTGCTCGTTTTCGTACGTCGTCCATCCTCTCCCTAAATTATCATATTCATAGCTCTGCTAGGTGGGTCTGTTCTCGGCCATGGTTACTACTTTCGTCGCCCAAACATCACAGAGTCTACACACAGACTACACGGAGATGTCTGCTAATCTGCTCTTCGAGATGATCAATATCCAGCGCGCTATTGCAAGCGGCGCCTCCTTGGACACCGTCGCTGCTTCCCCTCTTAACCCCAACACCACGTTTATCGCTTCAACCACAAGTATCTGGGTAAACGGGCTTTGGTTCACCAGCCTTGCACTCAGCCTGACGACAGCACTCGTCTCGGTGCTGGTCAAGCAATGGCTTCATCACTATATGGCTTTACCATCCGGAACACCCCGCGAGCAGAGCCTTCTGCGGCAATTTCGATTCGCGGGACTGCAGAAATGGCGCGTTCTCGTTATCATTGGGCTACTCCCTGTTCTAATGCACACCGCCCTCGCCAACTTCTTTGTTGGCCTCGTAATCTTCCTTGGTCTCCTGCGAGATTCCCTTACATGGGTTGTCGGCGCGATCACAGCCGTCACGTATACGGCCTACTTGATGGCACATATTCTCCCCCTCATTTTCCCCCAATGTCCCTACCGGACCTCACTTCTCCACGTCTTGTACAGTCATGTGATGCAGTACACCGTACATCGCCTCAGGTATCGTCTCCACCCGTCTGAGACGAACATGCATACTACACTGACTGGCGAGTCTGCCTCCAACGTTCCAAAATGGAAGAGCTTGAAAGAATTGGAATCACAGGCAGCACAGTCAGTATCGGGCGAATTATCCGTCGAGGCCCTACATGGACTCTTTTCCATGTCGTCGAACACCGCTGTCCAGAGTATCGTCATCCAAGCTATTGGCGGTTTACATCCAGCATTGCAGAGTAAGGCTCAAGGCCTGTTCAATGATATTGGCTTGGTATTATTGCAGTCATGTGCAGAGTGTCTTTCTAGGCCATCGCCAGGATGAGGAGCCCAATCTCACTGTCAATGAAATTTGCATGAGCTATCGGCAATTGCCGTTACCTTTCTTCCTCTTACGACGTCGTCTACTTTTTCTGTTTGTTATCATATTACTAGTCTCGAGCTGCTGGACAATCATTTAGGATCAATCAAGTTTTGTGTGCTATAAACTGGAGACACGGTTGCTCTGCTTCATCGCTTGCCACTATAAAAGCTGCCTCAAGTTTTACGAGGTCATGTTTAACTTCGATAGATGCTGTTCATCTTCTAGCACCTTCATTGATGATAGGCGCCAGACTACCAATCATCAAGGTACTTATAAGTATCCCGGCTTCGGTGGCTTGGTCTCTACAAGTTCTAAGTTCTGGCTGTTCTTTCGTGGTTGCTCGAGCTCTGTTGACTCAATTCTCGCCCTTTCTCAAGTGTCGTTAGTCTCTCACTCAATGCTTAGACGCCGTCTGATGATGCTTGATACTTATTTGCCTGCCTGTGAATTGGGCATGTTATAAACCTCGCTCTGCACACGAGGCCCTCTCTTGTCTCGAACTCTCACCTCCCCCACGCTTTCTATTGTGAGTCCTCTTTGCTCTGGCTTGTTGGCCTTTCCTTACCATCCTGCTAGACTTTAGATATACTATACGATGCCATCACGACCACCCAATTGGGTTATCGGAGCAGTCGCTGGTGCCGCATTGACGCCTGTCCTTGCACCCGCAGCTTTAGGAATTGTTGGATTCAGTGCAGCAGGACCTGTCGCTGGTAAGCAAGTGAAAGTACTATCTTCTGCTGATGGTGGTTCTGATTTGACCTCGCAGGTACACTTGCGGCGCTCATCCAAAGCAGTATCGGCAACGTCGCTGCTGGGAGCGCTTTTGCAGTAGCGCAATCTATAGCCATGGGAGGCGCTATCCCCACAACAGTGTATGCAGCTTCTGGAGTTGCTGCAGGAGTTGCGGGGTGGGCTGCAAGTTGGTTCGGTGGTGAGTATTATGAGACCCAGATTGTGCTTGCTTCATCTGATTTTTTTCTAGGTGATGAACCGGATCCAACACTTATCTGCAAGCAGCTGGATTCCGGCAGTGATAAGGAGAAGCTTGACGCGATGAAAAGGCTCATACAAGTACGTTTCCGCATCGTCTTGCTTTTCGTCGAGTGACACCTTCATCAGCTCATGTCCAAAGGTCGCGATGTCTCCGAATATTTTGCCCACGTTGTCAAGAATGTCACCTCCCAAAGTCTCGAGATACGGAAACTGGTCTACATCTACCTTCTGAGATACTCAGAGCGGGAGCCTGACCTCACATTGCTCTTTATCAACACGTTCCAGAAGGATCTCACCGACAGCGATCCCCTCATACGCGCCATGGCTCTACGTGTTCTCGTCGGAATCAAGGTGCCCTTGGTTGGCAACATCTTTGTACTTGAGGAAAGCGAGTGAAAACGGTCACTCATCGGATGGCAGGAAGTGCTGAAACCCACATGATCAAAGGATGAGTCGCCCGCACTCATTTCCAATGAAACTTGCATGAGCTGTCGGCAATTGCCGTTACCTTTCTTCCTCTTACGACGTCGTCTACTTTTCCGTTTGTTATCATATTACTAGTCTCGAGCTGCTGGACAACCATTTACGATCAATCGAATTTTGTATGCTATAATCTGGAGACACGGCTGCTCTGCTTCATCGCTTGCCGTCATAAAAGCTGCCTCAAGGTTTACGAGGTCATGTTTAACTTCGTTAGATGCTGTTCATCTTTAGGCAAGCTGGGGGGCGGGTCGAGGATCGACTTAATGGTGCGCTGATAAAGGAGGAATTCGAAGTTTACGATCACGAAGGGCGTGAGCTGGAAGAATCACATCCTTGGTATAGGTCGACTTGCACCCTTTCGTGCATGGGTATTAAGAGCAATTTGCCTGGCGCCCTGCCTACCCCAGAGGCTCCAGAGTTGGTAGTTTCATCTCGTCAGGGCTGTTGCGGTGCCGTAATGGGGATGGCCGTGTTTTACGTCTTGCTTCTGGCAGCCACCATGTCCACGCCACTTTCCCCCGGTATCGAGAGATCAGGAGGAGCGATAGCCACCGCCGATGAATGAGGTGGAGAAGATATGAACCTTGATACCACAGGTAATACTGTTGACGAAGAGAAGGACACTCCAACGCCATTGTATCATGAATCCGTTCATCCTGCCAAGGCGAGCAAGAGATTTGGGCTGAAAGGATCTGCTCCTTACCGGTCTCCCAAAGGTAAATTGTAATGCAGCTCATGATATCGTTCTCATCGACCGTCATTAGACAACGATCCTTTCAATTACGAAGAAAAGTATCCAGAAGACGCGTATTGTGAAGAGATGGGGCAGAACGCTAGGGTATTTCGGACGTACCTCGATGAGCGCAGGATATACGACGCAAATATGATTGAAGAGGCGAGAGATGGCGTCGACGTTCTTCTCGTTTTTGTAGGTCGTGCCTCTACATTT